TGATGGATGGATGGATTAATGATGGATGGATGATGGATCGATGGATGGGTGATGGATGGATGATGGTTGGATGATGAATGGATAGATCAATGATGGATGGATGGATAATGGATGTTTTAATCATGTCATTCAGGTTATGAATTAACCTTTCAGTTGTCAGTTATCAGGTATTTCATTCTATGTTTTGTGAAATATATCCAGATAACTTGATCCTGAATTGTTTCTTTGATTTTATTTCTGTCTGAAGGCAGGAAACAACTGGCTGAACAAACTGACTGCTCATTTTCCTCTTCTCACAAACCTACGAAGTAAGAGGAGCACCTCTGACCTCCACCTGCCCCCGCTTCCTGAGAAAATCTTCCTCAAGTCGTAAGTGTTTCAACTCTGAGATGTGGTGAATAAACATCGGTAGCATGAGGAGTTTCTCAACAACATGTTGGATTTGACCTCAACAGTGACACTTTGTTGCAATACAAGTTCAACAAGGAGAAGATAACCATCAACGTTCCTCTTCCATTTGGAGGCAAGAATTCAGAAGAACTGAATCTTCCAAAGACTTTATCTGTTCCAGTCATCGATCTTCCGCAGATTGGGATCTATATTCCAGCTCAAAGGTATTCGCTCCCGACAATCAGTTTTCCAAGATCTTTGGATCTCACTATTGCTCTTCTTGGGCTGGCCGAAGCATCAACTAAGATCCACAGCAACTTATACAACTGGGAAGGATCGATTGTTGGGGGGAACGACACGGTGGATATCCCTAACTATGTGGCGCGGTACCAGGCTGTCGCTCAGTCCCCAATAAGTTTACTCTCCTACAAATTTGAAGGTATACTCTTTTTAAAGATGCTTTCTGTGTTGAGTTGTTCTGAAAACATTCATTATCATCTTATTCCTGCCTGTTTTTTAGGGGCTGGGATGATATCAGGAAGAGCAGAAGACAATCTCAAGTATCTTCTCAACTGTTCTTTTAGTCACATGTTACTGGACACCAGCGTCAGCATATTGGAAACAGTGAGAGTGACAGAGAGACTGAATGCTCAAGCCAATTACCAGCTAAAGGCCTCCAGTCCATTAGGCCTTCACGCCTCCCTCGACTACTCTGCTCAGTCCACTTCTACCCTGAATTCTGATGAAGTTTTAGGAGATGGTACTTTAGATGGATTACTCAAACTTGCTTCTTTTCACGTCAACACGTCTTACAGCCACAGCTACAATCTGCGTCCTCATGATCGGGAAGGACGGGGAAAATCCACCTTACGCTTTGATTCCCCCTTTAGTCACTTTCAAAACACGATCCAAGGAGTTTATGCAAATTCTGAGTTAAATGTCATATCAAAAACAAGTTCCCAAAGTGATGTCTTCAAACATGTTGCAGAACTTAGGTACAAAGATGCACAACTGACCTTGAAGTGCAATGGGGTGTTGTTGGCTTTGGAGAAATCAGTGAAAAACGTATTTGAGCTTGGTGTATCGAGCCAGAAGTCCATCCTCAGGGTTGAGTCTCAGGTTGATGATGACACAAGTAGAGTATACTCACTCATAACTGGTTCTCTGGGTTCAAATGGACTGGTCCTCAACTCTGAGGGTTCCCTTATCTTTGCTATGGGTCGAGGTTTACATAAAGCCACTGTGCGAGCTGAAAGAAATGGACTAACCTTCAGTGGAATGAACAGCATACAGTGTAGCCCAGTGACAATGGAGAATACATTTGATGGAGCAGTAGATTTCAATGGAGCATCCTGCTCCTCCTTTACCAAAATGATGGCTGAGGAAGGCAGAGGGGAGCTTAGCATTGAAGGTAAAGTCACTCCTTCAGAGGCGTCTTTGCACGGTGACTTTAAGGGTCATGTGTACGATGCAGCGACAACAAACAACATGGACCTAAAACTGAACAGAAAAGGCCTGACTATCAGAGGGAACACAAAGGGAACGCTGAGGCAGATGATGACAGAGAACAGCCATGAACTCATCGTCACTCTCTGGACATTATCCCTCCACTCCAAGACTGAGAACTTCATCTGTGAAGATCTCTACTATACACAAAACACCAAGTTCAAGGCAAAGCCGTTTCTTGTGTCACTTGACTTCTCCAATAACCTCAGATTTTATGACCTGATGTTGAACAAAGAAAGTCATGTAAAGCTTGATCTGCTGGAGTTGGATCTCAGCGGATCATTGAATGGAGCTTTCAGAGAACAACACAACATCAGTCACACCTATGAACTTACCTACAAAGACCTATCTGGTTCAGTGAAGTCAAGCACATTGGTGGACATAATGGACACCCAGTTAGGTCATAGGTGTAGTCTCCATTTTGCAGGATTTTCCTCACTATTAAAGTGTGAGGCAAAGCTAAATTCAGAACCTCTACGCTTTGGTGGAAACATTCAGATTCAAGCTTTGCCTTTCAGTCTGGACATCGACTCATCTGTGGAGAGTGAAGGTGAGATCAATCTATATGGGAGGCACAGAGGACAGATCTTCAGCTCCTTGGTGGTTAAAACAGCCCCACTAGCTCTTGCATGGTCACATGACTGTTTGGTATCGACTGCACATTGGCTCCCAAATGGAGAGTCTTCAATGAGCTTCAACAACAAATTTAAAGGTCATCTTACTCCAAGAGACCAAGCTCTGGACTGGAAAGTAAACTCCAAACTTAACAACAATGCCTATGAGCAGAGCATCACTGCTTACAACAATCCTGATAAGGTTGGACTCGAGCTTTCGGGAGTTGCACTCACAGATTTTCTCAGACAAAAGAGATCCAAACCAGAAGCACAAACGTTCAGTATAGCTGGCTTCCTTAAGTACGACAAGAACAGTGACTGTCACACCATTGAGATCCCAGTCATTGAAAGCTTCCCTTCTGCTTTTGACCACATTAAGAGGACATTTGCAGCAGCCTTAGAATCTCTTCAACAATTCCTGCAGAATTTAAACATTAATCAGCTCATCGGAAACTTCAGAGCAAACTTAGATCAGCTGCCAGTACAAGTAAAGAACTTCATGAAGAAAATTGACTTGGATAATCAAGTTGTTGAAATAAAAAGAAGACTTGATTATTTGATGAACGAGTTTTCCGTATCCATGGATGACTTGGAACTTGGTTTGAGCAATCTGAAAAGAATTTTAGAAGAAAACATTCTGCACATAGCTACAGAAGTGCATAACCTAATTTCTGCAGCAGATGAGTTCATCACTGCAGGGCATCTGACCCACAACATAACAACTATACTTTCATATATCAGGGATCAACTGCAGGCTTTTGATGCAAAATACAACATTAAGCAGTCACTGCTCAGAACACTTGATTTCATGGAAGACATAATCAGACAGACGGACTTACGGAAGCTCAGGCAAAGCAGTGTAGCATTCCTGCATGAGCTTGACCTACAATATGGGATCCTGGAGACTATCAAGGAAAAACTGTCTGAACTTAAAACCACCATTGAGGATTTCGACCTTGTCCAGGTTTTGGAAAATGTGAAGACCTACCTCTTGTCCATTGACTGGGCTTACTATGTGGAGCAGTTTTCCTATCAGATCCCCATGTCAGAGATAGCTAAGGTTATGGAATCCATGAACGAGGTCATTCTCAACTGGATCGATGAATATGAAATCCCCAACAAGCTAAATGCAGTGTTAGCCTACTTTAAATATCTGCTTTTGAAATATGAACTGGATGATATTTTTAAGGACTTCATTGATCAAGCAGTGATTCTTGTCAAGGAATGGAAACTTGAGGAAACTTTGCAAAAAATCGTTGAAGCTCTGAAATCCATCAAAATTGAAATTGTTTATGGCAAAATTATGGACTTTCTCTACATACTAACAAGCAAAGTTAGAGAAGCTGACTTCCAAACAGTCATAGATGACCTTAATGGACGCATCTCCTCAATTCTTGAATCGATGAAAGGCTTTGACTACAGTGCATTTGTTGATCAGACAAACAGGGAGATTGCTGATCTGACGGATTACCTAAACAAAGAAATTGAAAGGTATGAGATTGTGAACAAGATTGAGGCTGTTAGGCAGTTTTTCAGAGAAATTCAACATTCCATTTATACGTATCTGGATGAACTCAAAAACACCAAAGTGTCCGAAGTCTTGAAGAAGCTGAAGGATGTGATGGACTCTACATTTTACAATGATGTCAAACTCAAAGTTCAGGACATCCTGGAGGACATGCGGCAACGAATTCTAGACATGGACATTAGGGATGAAATTCACATTTACTTCCAGAGAGTAAGTGACTCCTACAAAAACACAGTTGCCTTCATTTCTGTACACTTTGATAGACTGATAGAGTGGATCAAAACACTGGCTGGGGATATAAAGGTAATTGAGCAGACGAAGCGAGCAGTAGAAGAAGTTCTCGTGCAATTAAAAAGAGCCGAGATTGAAATTCCAACCTTTACTATTCCTCTTACTGACCTGGTAATACCTGAATTCACTATCAATCTGAACAGAATGCAGGAGATTACTATTCCAGCCCAAATAGCAGTACCAGAGTTCACCTTCCTAGCCTCGTACACCATCCCTGCTTTGAAAATAGACTTTAAAGAGATCAAGACCAGGATTGTTGCAGTAATTGATAGGATCCGGGGATTTCAGATCAAAATGCCTGACCTGGAGGACATCTTTGGCAATTTAAAAGTGATTTACCTTCCTGACCTGCCAGACCTCACCTTCCCAGAAATTGTTCTTATAGATATAAAAGTTCCCACCATAAGCATCCCTAAATTTAACCTGCAAGACTCTGGGATGAGAAAGCTTACAGTTCCTGATGTGGTGCTTCCAGAGATTCCCACAGACATCTGCATCCCGGTGTTTGGAAAACTCTACGGAGAATTTAGCATTACTGCTCCACAATACATCCTTGTTAACAAATTAAAGATTGAGAATTCCACTTCTGATTCGTCGAAACCCAAGTTTGTGGCTACGTGCACTTCTCATGCTAAATCACCAATCAAAGCCCTGGAACATACGTTGGAAACCACGGCAGTGCTAGAAGCTCCAGGGATGGAGAAACTACATTTCAAACAGACCTTTAAGGCTACACACATGGCCTTCTCGGTGGATCATGAAGTATCTCTGATGCTTCCTGGTTCTCCTGCAGAGATTTCTGCTAATGCTACCACCTTGGTGACCAGTGAGTTCTACACGGCCGAACTGGTTGGTAATGCAGCTTTTTCATTAGAGAGTGAAATATCTGCAGTTATAGAATCATCATTCAACCACAAGCTGGACTTCCCAGCATTAGATGCTTCCAGCCAGGTATCACTGAAGCAAAACATAGTTGCGAGAGTGGAGTCTGGATTGGTTACAGTTACTGGGGAGTCTACTGGTTACGGGGAGTGGTCCTTTCAAGGGCTTTCTGATGAAGGTACCCACAGAACCAATGGGGAATTTCAAGTTGATATGAGTACAGCAAAGCTTACATGTAGAGGAGAAATAGACTATAACGCTTTAAGATGGAAGCACATGCTCACTGCTGAATCGGCCATTTTAAGCCATATTGCCTTTGAAGCTCAGAGCGAATCCAGAACCCCGTTTGTCAAAAACAGTGTTTTGGTTTTAAAAGGAGAGGCTAACGTTGCAGACCTGAAAGCTGCTCTAACCTTCTCCCATGAGGCTGAATTCATTGGAGATTTGGCTGGAACCATGTCTAACTCTTTAGAGCTCAAAGCCCATCCATTCGAGATCGCCGTTGACGTCAGGAACAAGATGAACTCCAAAGTTTTGCTCCCTCTAAAGCTCACTAGTAAGATGGACTTCCATCATGATTATGGTGTCACGATGAACTCAGAGAAACAGAGAGCTTGGTGGTTAGCTTTGGTGAGATTCAATCAGTACAAATACAGCCACAACTTCACAGCAGAGAACAATGAGAAGCACACCTTCTTTCAGTCTGTAGCAGAAGGCGAGGCTAACTTGGAGTTTCTAACCATTCCCCTCTCAGTCCCAGAAATGACAGTACCTTATCTCCAAATCCACACCCCAGAGCTCAGAGACTTATCTCTATGGGAAGATGTTGGCTTCAAATTCTTGCTTTTCGACCCTCAACAGTCATTTGATATGGACCTCAGGTTTCAGTACCACAAGAACCCAGCTCTGCATTGCTTTGAATTGCACTTGGAACCAATCTACAGTGCAATCAATAGCAATTTTGAAATAATTCAGGGTCAATTTGAGGTCTACAGAGACAAAATGGTTAAATTTCTAAAATATTCCTACAATGAAGCAAGAACACATTACCTCACACATAAAATCAACACCTCTAAGCTTCCTCCAAGAATCTTCAGGGTCCCTGGATACAGAATTCCCCTCCTAGGCATCCAGGTCTCTGCATTCAGAGCAGAGATGCCGGCATTCAGCTACTTCGTCCCTAAGAAGGTGAGCACTCCCAGCTTCAGAGTTCCAGCTCTGGGCTTCTCTGTGCCTTCCTACACCCTTGTGCTCCCATCTCTCAGGTTTCCTGTGATTTATGTTCCAGAAACTTTAAGTGAAGTGAAACTGCCAAGTTTCACTCTGCCAGCTGTCCAGGACAGCATTGGGATCCCAGCTATGGGCAACATGACCTTCGATTTCTCACTGAAATCCTCAGTGATTTCCCTGAATGCTAATGCAGGTCTTTACAACGAATCGGACATTGTTGCTCGGTTTCGTGCATTTTTTGTGTCTCCGTTTGATGCTTTGAAAGGGAAGCTTGATGGCACCACCAGTCTGACGAGGACAAGGGGTCTAAAACTGGCTTCTGCCATCAGCTTGGAGCACAGCAATGTCCAAGCCGACCATGAATGTTCAGTTAGTCTTACGAGGAGGAGCATGGAAGCATCTGCAGCCAACTCAATCAAAGTAAATTTACCCTTCCTTCAAATTGAGATGAATCAGGAACTTTCTGGTGGCACCAGAACTAAGATAAATGTCCTGTCCAAGAAAAAGCTCAGCTACATGTTTAATGTTCCTCAGGTTGCATTTGCAGGCAAAGGAAGCGTTGACACCACTTGGGACCTGAAAGCTCAGTCTTCTCATGTGTTGGTGGATTATTCTACTAAAGGAAGGTCAGACATGATGATAATGGACTTGTTTAATTTAGCTAGCAATCTAGAAAATACAAAATCCTTCTACCTGAGCATTAATGGACTACGTACGACTGGCCAGACCTCCCTGTCCTTCACTGTGGACAAACAAGTTAAGCAGAAACGGAGCTTAAGGACCAAACTGTTCTTGTTTAATCTGGAGAACATGGTAGCTTCGGACATTTCCCTACACCGTGTCTATGCAACAGTCCGATATAAGAGCAACAACAATTTTCAGACTGAACCTTTCACCATGGTAGGAACACATGCTGCTGGCGGGGAACTGGATTTGGCTCCTCTCAAATCCTTCAGTGCTTATCTAGGGTGTGATGTTAATCAATCGAGCAGTTTGGGTGATGCTGTCCTTAGCCAGGACGTCACCTTAGCCTTCAGCTCTGAGAAGCAGTCATTCAGCTGGAGTCTGAAGGAGCAGCTGGGATCAGTCCTTCATGGTTCTGACTGGAACATTTTCAATGAAGTGTCTGAAGCAGGTTTCGAGTTTTCTGTGTGGGTCGGAGGACCCCTGGCCTTCTTGAAGTTGATCAAACTTCCTGTTTATCAGAGGAGCCTGTGGGATGTGCTCAAATTTGGTGAGGTCACAAACATAAATAACGTGCAGCTGTTTAACTTCTCCTCTGCTGTTACCTACACAAAGAGCATGGATGGCTTTGATTACCAGATACCTTCTACCATGAATGAAGACGGCGTAACCTTCAGCTTGCCAGTGTTGAGCTTCGCTGTACCTCTCTGGGCCAAAGAGGCCCCTCTCTCCAGCACGAACACAGATATGAAATTTGAGATGGTGGAAGTCCCGGATAATGTCACCATTCCCCCCATCATCACAGTCCCTGCCTTCCATGTCCCATTGACCAGCTGGAACATCGGGTCCTTCACAGTGGACCCAAAGAGCTTGACCATCCCTAAAGTGATTCCAAAGCAGGCTTTTGATATCCTTTTTCCCGGCTTGCCTGTCATATCAGTGCCCAGTTACGACATTAGAACAGAGTATCTCAAGGACAAAATGTCCTTCCTGTCCCTCAGGATTCCACAGCATGAGATCACAGTGTCCTCCTTCACTGTACCAAAATCTTTCACCATCGGAGAACTCACCATCCACCTGGATGACATCACCAATCACATTTCCAACTTTAAAATTCCTGCTCTCTCTATCCCAGAGCAAAAAGTGGAGATCCCTGAACTTGTTCTGAATCTACCTTCAAGCATCTTCATCCCGTCTTTCGGTTCTCTCAGTGCTCTTTTCAACATTTCCTCCCCCATCTACAAAGTTTCCACAGTGGCCTCTGTGAGCAAGAAGGACCTTAACCTTGAGGGTTTAATCAGCTCTCTCTGTACTTCCACCCTGGTCTTCATGGAATACGATCTGACTGGTAGGAAAGAAGCACCTCCTTCTGATCCCTGTGCATTTCTCTGCTGAACCATTAAAACCTTATCTTCTTGTTTCTGGTTGCTTTTTCAGCCTCTGCAACCATCAGATATATTGATAAGATGTTTCAGCTGAATGGGGACGGCAGGTTGGCCCACAGGGACACGGCGGTGAACTGGCACCATGTGTTGGATCATCCTCTCAGGTGAGCATTGACTGCTGTATCCTGAAGTAGACTTTCTGCTTTTCTATCAGTTAACAGACGAACACAGCAACATTTAAAAGACTGATCTCACAAAATAATAATAACCATTGTTATAACAACAATAATGTTGATTAAGCTACCATATTTTCCGGACTATAAGCTACTTTTTTCCCGCGCTTTGAACCATGCAGCTTATAAGAAGGTGCGTTTTTTCTGTAGATCTTTCCTTACCGCCAGAGGGGGTGAAAAAATAAGGGGCTAATTTGCATTTAGCACTAAAACATGCTAGCAGCAGGAACGACGGAGAACAAATATCCCAAATTCACACATTTTGACATTTATTTTCTGCATTAAAGCTTCCGAACCAATGAATAGACTGGACTTAACTCCTGCAGAGCTGAAATAAAGAGCTGACGAAGCTCCATCTTTCAGTGGAAACTCTTACTGCTGCAAGCTGACAAGCTAAAGGGAGCTAGCATTCTTCTTTATCCCTACTCCAGGGACTATATATAGAGCTCCCCCTACAGGTGTGGTGGGAGACAGTTCTGTAGATATCAGCAGCTTATAGCCCGGTGCGGCTTATATCTTTACGTCTCCAGTTTTTCAAACTATCTACAGGGCTGCCAACTTTTAACCAAACCTTGGAGTGAGATTGTGAAAGAATTTGGACATGCAGACCTGGTCAGGGTTAGATGAGGACAGGTGCAGCTTTAGGTTGGAGGTTTTCTGAGGATTTAACTGAAACAAAGTTGTAAATTGTTGATTTTTTTTTATAGCCCAGTAAATGTTACTAAGTAACAACAAGTGGTCTGTAGTTATATGGAACGTTTTTCACACAATATATATTATCTTCTATATTTTGGTTATTTTTAGACAAATAAAGTAAATAAGTATGGGCCCTACAAGAATACTTGCATCTTAAATATACTGTAAACTAGGGATGCGAATTGAAAACCGGTTCCTGTTCAGAACCGGTTCTGTGTGTTCCAATTCCATGGCACTGTTTAGCAGCTCGCTAAACGGTTCTCTTAACGGTTCCAGGCAGCACCAGAGGCTAGCGCTGGGCAGCACGACTTACGTCAGGTTTTCTACGTAAGTTACGCACACGGCATTCGGTAAGCAAGTACGACGTGACCAGGCATAAGTCTAGGGCTCTGTTTGAATTCATGGGCTGCGTCCTTCGAAGGTTGATTACGTCATAGCGCGGCGCCGAGGTCTGGTCGGATTCCAAGACTCCTCGTTATGCGGCCTTAAAATGCGTCCTTCTTTTTGCCCGATTTGAAGGACGGGTCCGATGTATCCTCGCTATCCTTGTATATCCCAGGATTCATTGCGAGACCAAGCAAGCCGGCTGTGCCGTGATCAGAGGAAAGGTTACTTGGT